GGTTTGATTAAATGTCCATTTTAGCCCACTTTTTCAAGTGGCAAATTCACAAAACAATTTCAAATAAAACATGAAATCAAATGTCCAATTCTCGCAAGTTAGTCTATATTTGTGTGTGCGTCACATAGTAATGTTAACTTTAATAATTGGAACAAGAGCATATAATGTAAATAAAAATCACATCATGATTAGTAGAGGCCGATCTTTGATCGGGCGAGTGGAGTGCTCAATTCATGACCTTCCCCTCTCATACTTAAGTTCCCGAGCCGAGACACTTTGGTGATGATGGGCTAATGGCCTTTGGCACGAGTCTCGGGTTTTCTAAATTTTTCAAAACAAAATATTTAGGTGGCGATTTTGAAATCTGGCAAAATAGTCCATTTTTGGCATTTCATTCAAAACATCAATTTTCCAAAAAAGAATTGCCGGAATTAGACTCTTTTTGTGTTTTCACTATTTCACATTGCACTTGTGAAATCAGATTCAGAACCACAGGTAAAGTCCAAACTGTAGGGCTATTCGTCTTTCGAAATGAGCGCGAAAGGTCGAGCTACAGTATCCAAAGAATTCTAACACAGAAAGACCCAAGGCAGATTGGGAAGCACGAGCAAAATCCTGATAGAGCTCAAAGATGCAAGCATCATTATGAACATGAGCATACATCTATCAGACGGCATGCCATAAACCGAGAATTGTGTCACAATAGAGAAATATGTGATAAATACGATATTCCATTGAGTTGAACATTCATTCCAAAATAGTACAATTATTAATATCCGACTGTGCACGGGTAGGATTTGTTATAACAGGCTGGGTAGTAGAAGATAAAAATGAATGAGCTTTTCCTTTGCCCCCTAAATAGAGTTGAAGGGAACAATTCTAAGCAGCAAAATTTTTCCCATTCAATATCCCACTCGTAATACGATAAACAGAAGTGTGATAAGAAAGAGAAAAATCAAAACTAATTGGGACAAACTTGGTGGGTATATCGGATGAAACAACAAATGATGGATTAGTCAAGGTGGAAGAAGAGGGGCTAAAAAACACACAAACATAGCAACATAGTCGAAGAAAAAATAAGAAGCAAGAAAAAATCCAGTGGCTTATCCAAATAAATGCCGCTGAATAAACCCGGTAACCCAAAAGAATAAAAAGATAGACAAAGGGGCTTAATACATTAGTCTAATCACCCCAAGAAGGGGGGAAAAAGAAAAGAAAAACAGCCACAAACCACCTAAAGAGGCAGCTAAAGCACATAAGACTAGAACCAAATTTGGTCAGCAATAACCAAAGCATAAGCAGGGACAAAGAAGGCCTACCGAGGTGAATACAAGGAAGGAGAGGGCTGCGGAGGCTAGGTTGAAGCTGGGTTGAGGCTGTTAGATGGAGAAAATGAGTTGGAAAAGGCTGTCAGAGGCTGAAAGAAGGCTAGACTGAGGTTTTTAGAGAGAGAAAAAAAGCTGAAAATGGTTGTTGGAGGCTGGGTGAAGGATAAAAAGAGTTATCGGAGGCTAGAGAGAATAAAGGAGGCAGTTGGTGGTACTGGGTGGTTAGAAGAGAGACGACTAGGGAGGCTCTAATATTAAAAAAAAAATTGAAAGAATTATTTGGCTTACCAATCAATAAGGTAAAGGCTATGTATATATGATATATTTATGATACAATTTAGGAAACAATATACACAAAGATATTCGACAAAATAATTCCTATTCTAATTTCTATATTCAAATATAATATTTTGATTCCTATATTCTACAGTTGTTTGCCCAACTTGACCCAAGTTAAACCCGAATTATCCGAATTGCACATAAATTTTAATTTTTTTTTCTTTTATTAGTGCAGCTAAGTTAATTAATTTTTTAAAATTAAACTCTATTTATAATTTTTTTTATAAAATCATTAATATCATTAAAACAAATAATTTATATAATGTAAGAGAGATACCACTATAATAATTTATGAGTGAGAAAAAAATAAAAAATTTTGTGTTATGTTACTTATGTATATAATATATATTTAATATGATTTAACGATCTAAATTACTTTAATATCATCCAATAACTAATAATTTGTATGTATATTCAATATTTATAAATATAGATTGGATCAAGTCTATTTATGTGTATATTCAATAATTTATGTGTTATGTTCCCTAAAGTATATAAATCAAGTCTATTTAATTCTTAAACTATAGATTGGATCTATTAAGTCTCTAAAATATTTAATTCAAATCTATTTAGTCATTGAAAGGATTATAAAAATAAAATATATGCCTATTAGTATTATATATTAGTAAAAGACTCTACCTAATTAATATTTTGTTACAGAAAAATCTTAAATATTTATTGTGTTTAAATTGTATTCGACTTTGGTTTCTCAGTCTTGCCAATAAAATTATATAAGTATTAAATATACTGAAAAAGTAGAATTAGATAATTTAAATAATAAAACTTCACTACAAATAATAATAGACCAAAATAATACATTAATTAAGTTATGATGAAAAGAAGTTAGCGATTTATTTATCTATTTATTTATTTTTTTGTGTAGAAGATAAGTTTGAAAATACCATAAATAATTACCCTTACCCTTATAAAAAAACTTGCCAGAAGAACTTATGCCCACGTTTCAAAGTCAGAATAAAAACTTAAGATTTTTTTTTTAAAATAAAATTTTAACTAGATAGGGTCTTTTACTAATTTATAATACTTATTGGCTTATATTTTATTTTTGTAATTCTTTCAGGAACTAAATATATTTGAATTAAATACTTTAGAGACTTAATAGATTCAATCAATAGTTTAGGGATTAAATAGATTTCAATTTATATACCTTCTAGACTTAGTAGATTCAATCAATAGTTCAGGGACTAAGTAGACAATTTGACTATAGTTTGGAGTTAAAAAGTGTAATAAACCCATATTTTTATATAGTTACGTATATATATATATATATATATAATTCGTGGTTCGAGTTGCTCAAGTTGTTTAATATTTCTACAAGTTGTTTAATACTTCTACTCAAGTCTGTCCAAATTTAATTCGGGGCTTATGAGTTTTTACCCAAGCCCATACCGAATTCAAAAATAGTTTATCCAAACCCTTAGAAATTTTGGGTTGAGCTTAGTTGCTCAGATTGAATCTACTCAAGTTGCACCCCTCACTACAAGAATTAACACTTTTGCCGACCAAAAAATTGGTCGCTAAAAGCCCATTTTTAGTCAACAAAAGTTATCCGCGACCAATTTTTTTGGTCACTACTTTGGTCACCAATTGAGGGTCGGCAAAAGTAATTCGCGACCAAAATTTTGGTTGGTTGGGAAAAGTTGGATTTGCCGACTAAATTTTTTGTCGCTAAATATGTCATTACTGCGACTAATTCATTTTGTCGCTAAAACATTTTGGTCACGAAAAGTGATATTTTGCCGACCATATATCTTAGTCGCCAATTGTCACATTCCACGACCAAAAAATTTGGTCGCCAATTATCACATTCAACGACCAAAACGTTTGGTCGCCAATTGTGACATTTCACGACCAAAAATTTTGGTCGCCAATTGTCACATTCTATGACCAAACATGTTTGTCGCCAAAAGAAATGTTTGCGCAACTAAAACTTTAGTCGGCAATAGACCTATTCGCGACCAAATCCTTTGGTTGCCAAAATTAATAATTTTAACGACTAATTATTTAGTCGCCAAATGTGCTTGGTGATACACCGACTACTTTATTTAGTCAGCAAAAGTATAACTTATCTTTCCCAACTAATCAATTGGTCGCCAAAACTAGAAAAACAAAACCAAATTTTGGTCGCCAACATCCAACAAAATAAACCTGTAATTTATAATAATCCATCCATTTTATTCAATATAATTTGTATTTTGCAAAAATCATTCAAACCAACAAATAAATTAAATCATGAACATTCAACAAAATATATATATCAACCATTTCTGAACCAATTTAATTAAAGTCAGCAACTATTATAAGTTTTCATCCACAAATAATTCCAAACTACATATTTCATCTAGCATAAAAATTTAAAACATAACTAGTACTTGTTATTATGTTTTAAATTTTTATCCATGTACATCAACCGAAAAATATAACTAGTAGTCTACCAAATATTTTCTATACACACCCATCCAAAAATATAACTACTAGTGTATCCAAAAATGTAACTACTAGTCTACCCTAATCTTTTCCATATACATCTATACAAAAATATATAATCCTTCCAAAAATGCAAAAAGTGCCAATTTGTCCTGTGAAATTTAGCTTTGTGCACAAGTTCATCCATCTGTACCAAAGAAAAAGTGAAATAATGTCAAGTAAAATTGGACAAATAATGAAAAATGTCCATGAAAAGCAAAGGTCACATTAGCAAATTAAATGACTATCATTATCAAATTGTAAATAAAACAATAGCATTCTTATGTCTATAGAATAAATTGGATCAGCCACCATTCCAGATCCAATATAGTGCCACACAGCAGAAACCAACATGGCAACTGAAATTGATCCATATTGTCAATAACTCCTATCTTCCTCAATTCACATGAAAGGTTCGATCAATTCAATATGAAAACTAGTTTTTCATGAAAGGTTGACAATATTTCATGAAAGGTTGACAATATGAATTGATCCATAGTCTTCAATTGATCCATAGTTTTCTTTTAGACATCCAGTCTTCAACATTGAATTAGTCTTCAATTTTTCCCCCCCTTTTTTAAGACACAGAGATATTGAAAACAGAAGAAGAAAGCATCTCTAATCTAACGTTTCCTCTCAATTTATAGTAATGGTTTAAAAATTAACAAGAAATACTAACCAACAAGCCCTCTTGGAGTGCCAGTTGCTTTGCAGTTTCTACAGCTTCGTCACTGGATATCTGAAAGAATTAGCATACCACGATAAATAACACGCAGTAAATAGAAAAACATGGCAACCTAATACAAGTATGACAAATATAGAAAAGAATTTGAACAAGATTGTGGGATATTCATACATAGACAAGCAAATTCATATTCCCAAAAAGAGTGACTACCTCACTCCATTCCGTTCACAAAAGCCAACCAGCCAAAAACAAGAGTAGAAAACAATTTTATTAGTCCTATTGTTACTACAACAATAGAAAAGTAAAGAACAAATCAACATTTCTGCTTATGACCATAGGAAATATTTTGTATAAGCGGACAATCCATCATACATGTTACCACTGCATCACTCTGCAGAATGCATGAAAGCCAAATTCTTACACTAATATGTTGTAGTTGTTCCCCTGGTGCAAATTATGCACCAGAATTTATCCCAAAGGATATCGAGTTTATTGGTCAGAAACGGCTGCCATTTGTACATAGATCAACTTCCATAAAATGCTGCTACATTGAGTTTGGAAACACAAATATCCAAACAAAATGTTGGCCACATATGTGCCACAGAAGTCAACATCTTCTGTTTGGTTGAGTTTCAGAATTTGTTTTCTACAAAATCTCAAAAACTAGTTTTTTTTTTTTTTGGGGGGGGGGGGGTTGGTGCAGGCATTGGTGTTGATCTAAACTTTCGTCACATTTTTTTATTTTTATTTTTGGTTATTCCATTCTTCTTTGAATTACCAAACACAACCTATACATGAAAATGAAAAATAAGAAACTAGTTTTTAATTTTTCAAAACAAGTTTCGAAAACTCAACCAAACAGCCAAGTCTTTGCTCTTACAGACGTGTGCCACAAACAAGTTCTTTTAGCTCATCATTGGAATTGCTTTTGCTATTACTATGCTGCCAAAATGAATTCCTTTTTAATAGAGAATGAGATTTAGACCCTAAAATCTACCTCATATTCCATGTTGCCAATATGAGTGAAACATTCAAAAAGAAGAGCACATGAATGAATCAATCAGAATAGACAAAAACACTAGAAGTAAAATCCCATAATTAATCTGTTGACAAATATTAAGTTAATTATAGAGCATTGTTTAACTCAGATGCATAATAAAATATATATGATCTGACCAAAAGAAACAATATGTAATGGTAAGATAAGACACCGACCGAAACAATATGTAATGGTAAGATAAGACATTGACCGCTATGATTTCATCAACTATAGCTTGATCCAAATTTCTGGGTATAAAACCTGCTCCGATTCCTTGAATTTTGTGAGGACTTGCATTTCATAATGGCAACAACCAAAACAAGATCCAATTACATTATTTTGAAACAAGATCCAATAGCATTGTTTTGAAACAAAATCAAGTAAAAATTGTATCTGCTATCTCTCCAGGCTTCCCACCAGAGAGTATGCTGCTATCTAACGGTTCCCAACCAATAACTTGATACAATATAAAGCGAATGACAAAATGGAAAAAAGCACAAGTAGAAATGGTTGAAAACATTTTCCATGCCATCCACGACCCTTAAACGTTTGCAAAAGAGTTGCAAACTCAGTTTTCCCTCCATCTCATGGGTACTAAGAATGTCATATGTAATGAATATGGAACAAATTTCATAACTAGGTTTGATTTGACTGATTTAAAAGCAAAAAGCATTTACCTTTATGCTAGGATTTTGCTGTTTAAGGAATCGACCAACCCCAGAAATTGTTCCACCAGTGCCGACCCCTACAATAAAAATGTCCACCTTGCCTCTTGTATCTTCCCAGATCTCTGGACCAGTTGTCTCATAGTGAACCTGCAAAAAAATAATAAATAAAGAGATGAGAAGGTAAATTTAACATAGACTCATGCATCTAGGGATGAGAAGGTAACTTATTTTAAAACCCTATTTCTATATTATGCTTTCTCTTTCCCCCCCATCTCTTCCCAAATTTTAGCTTGGTATTAGAGCTTCCAATCAAATTCAATCACACCTTAAACGCACTGAAATTTGTGAGAAATTATCACACCTTACACGCACTAAAATTTTTGAGAAATTATCACACACTTTCCACAAAAGGAAATCGCAACTTGTTGTATTGTTGACGTTAGCGTGAGAGTGCTGAAGTCAGCATGGCATCAACACAATCCTAATGTCAGTGATTGAGATGCATACTGTTTGATTCATTTCTTCATGCCGAGTCCTATGGTGATTCTTATGAAATTTTTTGAAGCCATCTGATATTTTCGTTTTTTCAAATGTTTTTCAGAATTTTTTAGTTCATTTCTTTTATCCGTTTACTAAAGAAGTTTTTGTGGTTTGTTCACTTTTTCCCTGGGTGTCGACCTGCCATCCTAGAGGTTTCTAGGAGTGATTAACCCATGCCATACATTTTTGGGTAGTTTTTGGCTCAACTGGACTTCAGCAGTATAGTTTCTATGGCTTGTGTGTGCAGTTGGTTCAATTTTGGCTAATTTGCTCTTATTTTTTCATGTGCCGGCTAGTATGAGTGTTAGGTTGATACTTGTTCAAGGTGTATGACTGTTCGAAAACAAGAGAGAGGGAATGCAGGTCGTCTTCCTTACATTGATCGATTGAACGAGGGTTTGCAAATTTGTCTACTACAATGCCAAAGTATATTACTTATAAGCTAATAAGTTATTAGCTTAGTAATAATAACCCTAACTCAAAATAGGAAACTAAACCCTATTACAAAATGAAAACTAGAATCCCTAAAAAATAAGAAACCAAATATTACTAATATCCTAATTCAACTATATTTCCAATTGAATCTTTACCCATTACTACCATGGCTTTGGTCACCTGGCAGAGTGTGAGTGTTGAATCTTTTTATTAATATAGCGACCCCGGTCTTCTCCCATTTGATTATTGTATCCGGACTTAGGTTCCGTAGATTCTGTCATTGTATAATTGATGTTGTTGTCCCTTATTTTCTCATTTGGACTTATAGGATGTGTTGGGCAGGTTTGTTTCAGGTTGGTTGGGTTTAGAAACCAAGTGTTGCTGTCCAGAATTTTGGATCTTCGCTTGAGCGAGGAGTTTGTCGCTCGAGCGGGCTGTTATTTTTGGTTCTTCGCTCGAGCCGGGGTTTGGTAGCTCGAGCGAGAGGTTGCGTCTGATTTGGACCTGTAGCTATGCATTCTTGGCTCGAGCGAGCTTTTCTTCGCTCGAGCGTGTTAGTTCGTTCTTCGCTCAAGCGATAGTTCCTTCGCTCGAGCGTGTGTCTGGATACAGACCTGAGGGTTTGAGTTCTTCGCTCGATCAAGTTTTCTTTCGCTCGAGCGAGCTTTTGGGTTGTTGGCTCGAGCAAGGCTTCCTTGGCTCGAGCGTAGCTTCTCTGTGTCTGGTCGCTCGAGCGACCAAGTCTTCGCTCGAGCGAGCCTGTCAGGTTTATATACACAGCAGCGTGTTTCAGATCGTTTTTTCACATTCTTTTGATCCTAAAACCCTAGTTCCGAGTTCTCTCTCCCTCCACTCACCTTCTCTCTTAGTTTTCATCTAGTTTTAGGGTGTTTCTACCCTAGGCTCTTTATTAAAAAGATAGAGTGGGTCGAGGGCTTCCATTTAATCTGAATTGTTGGTAGTTTGGAGCA